GGAGGAGACCCAGGCGGGATGTCTGGGCCCACGGTGAGCAGACAAGTGGACTATGAAGATGGGAAGTTCTCATCCTGCAACCAGAAGTGGGGAGCAGCAACGTGACACACGAAATGGGCCACAATCTTGGATCAGGGCAGGCTGAGGAGTCTGGATATCCCTGGAGACCTCCACGGAAGGAGTGCCCAGGTCAGATTTGCGTTTCTCAGAGATCACTTCAGCCACAGAGTGAGATGAACCCACTGTGGGTCTCAGGAGCCAGCCACTGCAGTACCCCAGGTGACAGGGAGACCCCTTCTCAGCTACCCTGCTACAAACCACCAGCTCTGTTCTTCCGGCCTCTGCATCCTCATGGGAAGCAGGTAGCTCCCCACAGTGCTGGGAGTCGCTCCATTTCTCTGTGTGGTAAACTCAAAGGGCCCCATCGGGGACTGGCAACCACCAGAAATAACCAGTTCGCAAAACCAACACCAGTGACAAAATGTTTTCACACACACAATCAGATTTGACACGATCCCAGAACCAAACAGGTGGTGAAAATGAATGATTATGAACAAGGATAGTGAAAAGAGAAAAGACCCCCTCAGGAGACACAGCCAGCTCCTGATATCTGGGTTCCGGTTTAACTGGTGCCATCCCACAGACTCTCAGTGCAGGCGGGAACATCCACACCTGTGCTGCCAACACGGGCCCTACTAGCCACTCGGGGTGCTGAACACCCAAACCTGGTGCCACCACTGAAGGATGAGTTTCTACTTTTACTAGCAGTTCATTTTAATTGATTAAACTCAAATAACCACCTGTGGGCAGAAGCTTTCTGTACTGGACAGCACGTTCCTAACGCATAATCCGCACTAAAATGTCAGAAACCCAGAAAGAATCCCTGTGAGCAGGGCAGTGCTGTGCAGCACACAGGAGGCAGACAGCGGGGGCCTGATCATCACCACACTGGCCACCAGAAAGCCCCCAGCCCACAGGAACCTCTTTATACCCCTCAGTGGGAGAGCCGACAGGGAACTTTTCAGGCCCTTGTGGCTCTGACCACCTGCAAGTTCACTGTGATCGCTACAAATCCAAGGAGCCCATGGGTGCCCTGCCATGGTAGGTGAAAGGGGCAGCTGTTAGTCCTGGCTGTCGTCCCAACCCCAACACGACCATGTCCCCCATTCTCCACCAGCAGACTGTCAGCTCACTGAGCCCAGGCATCAGATGGGGCCTCTGTCTCCCCAGCACCTAGAAAACCACAACAGGTGCTCAGGGATAAAAGTCAGCATTAGCGATGAAGACGCTTTCCTGCATTTACCGCGCATGTGGTGCTGGGCTAGGCGTTCTCACTCACCATTCTGCTCATTCTGACAGCCACACACTGGGGGCTGAGGTGGTCTCTCCTCCCTGCACCCAAACCTCATCTCAAAGGGGGTCTTTGCCCAGGGTCACCCAGCTAGTCAGCAGCAAAGCTGCATTCAAACCCAGGGTTTCCAAGCCAAAGCCACGTTCTTGATCTCTAAGCACTGGCACCTCCTACAGATCCCCTGTGGTGGGGGAGGGGCATCGAGGGGCAGGGAAGGAAAATAACAGGAAAGGACATGTGAACTCAGCTAACTGAAGTCCACCCAGAAAGGACCTGGAGCATGACAGAACCTCAAAATCCCTAAGTGGAGGCTGGGCACGATGCCTCACACCTGTAATCCCAGCACTTGGGAGGCTGAGGGTGGACTGCCTGAGTTCATGGGACCAGGACCAGCCCGAGCCAAAGCGAGACCCTGTCTCCAAAAATAGCCCACTCTTGTGGCAGGCACCTATAGTCCTAGCTATTTGGGAGGCTGAGACAAGAGAATCACTTAATCCCAAGAGTTTGAGGTTGCTATGAGCTAAGATGCCACTGTACTCTACCAAGGGTGAAAAAGTGAGACTTCGTCTCAAAAAAAAAATCCTAAGTGGCCTGACACTTCCAGGGTTCAGGGTTAATAAAGTTTACAAAGAACACTCAAAAGAAGGCAGATCCTCCCTCCACCCTGCAACGAGGGCAGGTCCCCTCAAGACTTTCCAAAGCAACAGGGCACCTGTGGGGCAGGGAGAGGCTGGTTGTGGGCCAGGAGACCTAACTAGACCTGGCCTGTGCCTCGGTGACCCTGAGCAACTTTCTGCCTTCTTTGAGCTTATGAAAAAAAGGTACAAGAGTCCCTCACAGGTTACCGGTGGCACACCTGGCACACAGGACTTGCTGAGTGCTGCTTAACCATTCCTAAAGTGTGCCAGGTGTCAGCCCAACCAAGGCACGTGCTGAGACAGCAGCCCCTGGAAGGACCTGAGGGCAGAGTGCAGCCTCAGCAACTGGGCTGGGGGAGCTCTGGACTGCAAGTGGAGGAAACAGGCCACCTCTCCTGAGAAGACGTCTTACTCACACTACCCATTCCCATGGAAGGGATGAGAAGGGTGGAAAAGAGCAAGCTTCAGACCAGGCAGACAGTGTAAAGAAACAGAAAATACTGGCCCGCACACCATCACATGCCCTCAGATGGCTCAAGTCAGCCTCGTACCAGCCACAAAGGAGGAAGGCACAAGATGTCCTACAGCCCCCATTTCCCCATCTGTGAAATGGGAGACTAGCTTTGGGGACAATCTGCTGGGACAATGGTCACAAAGAGCTTTGTAAGCTGCAAGGCACAGAATGTGGCTGGCAGTCCATGGTCTGATTATCAACATTACTTGCTCTTGGCTTACATACAATTCCAACAAGGTTTTCCAGAGGTTTCCCAGCCCTTACTGGCAGGTGACAGACTGAGGGTAATGAAAAGCCCACAGGGGCTGTTGAAAAAAAATTTTTTATTAAGTTTCAGAAAGGTGGCTTTCTAGGACTTTATGTGAAGGGACCTCAGGAGGGTCTTGAGACCACTGCTGCATTTTCTGTTACTAAGGGAAAGAGCCACTGTGTTTATTCTCCTTGTTAAAAAGTCTAGCTCAGATGTGTGTTTTTGTTGGTCTTTGGAAGACATAAGTTACAAACATGACTGGTAGTGGTCTGTGGCCTGCTAGGACCAGGGCTGGACAGCAGGCGGTAAGCAGGGGGAGCAAGTTAAGCTTCATTTGTATTTACAGCCGCTCCCCATTACATGAATCACTGCCTGAGCTCCGCCTCCTGTTAGATGGGTAACCGCATTAGATTCTCATAGGAGTGCAGGCCCTATCATAGGCTGCATACTTGATGGATCTAGGTTACCGCTCCTTATGAGAATCTGACGCCTGATGACCCAATGTGGAGCTGAAGCAGTGATGCCAGCACTGGGGAGCCACTTCAAATACAGATCATCATTAGCAGGGAGGTCTGACTGCACAGAGGCCATAATGAATCCATTGCTTGAAGACTCATATCCCCTCACCCTGGATCTATGTAAAAATTGTCTTCCATGAAATTGGTCCTTGGTGCTAAAAGAGTTGGGGACTGCTGAGAAAACTTCCCTAAAATTCACATCCCATTCCAGCTCTCCTCAGTGGAGCAGGAATATCAAGTACAAAGCTGATGGGTCTCCCATGCCCTTCCACAGACTTCATTTCTCAGTCTCCATCACCTCATCCCTAAAACAGAGGGAGCAACACAGGACCTCAATCCCTCATTTGCAATTCCAAAATCCTAAAGAACTTCAAAAAGCAAGCTTTTCACAATTCATTTGAAGGCAATCCTGTCCTAAACCTACATGTGGCTATTTTTTAATCTTTGTCCCATTTAATGGGGGTAGTCACACACTTTTAGCAAAAATATTATATACATGTGTATCATTCCAAAGTGTAGCCCCAAACCCAGCAGGGGATCTCACAGCATATATGTCCTATGCACAACCATTTCTATAAAATCTCAAAACTTCTAAGTGCCCACACCCATGGTGCCCCACAGTGTGGGTAAGGGGCTGGGGGACTGCTGTGCAGAGAAGTCCCCAGCCACAGCAAGAGGCCCTTCCACTTCCTCTTCCCAAGGGGCCTGGCAGGAGCTCCAGACCAGTCAGTCCACCTCCAAGCCCAACACCCTTTCTCAGAAGGGTATCTGGGACCCCACACACCTATGACAGCTTTTCCTACAACCAGGCCCACTGCTGGTCCAACATGACTTTAGGGCCAGACATCTTCTAAATCAATGTACAGTCTGCCAGGTACACAGTGGCAACAAGGGAAGCCCTCAGGACAAGTTCAGAGAACAGGAAAGCTACCTTCTTTCCCTACAAACCTCAGATGGGGCACTACACAACCATCTGTTATATCAGGTCTGGAGGGGGACCTGCCTGGCTTTAAATCCCAGGTCTGCCACGCACAGGCTCAGTGACCTTGGACAAGCCTCCTCTCCCTCTGAGCCTCAATTCCCAGACTGTAAAGTGGGAATAATCATCTCTAGTTTAAATGCTAGCAGTGAAGATGCCATCAGTTAATGCTGGGAAATGTGAATGCCCAGCGCATGGACTAGGTCACAGACGCGGCCCTGAAACAAGAGAATGAATGCACCAGCCAAAGCACTCGGCACAGGGCTGGCCCCATCCCCCACCTGGAGCCCATGCTGCAAAAGAGGGACGTATACACACCGCCCTAACTCTCTTATTATCCTCCTTCCCAGGTGATCACCACTGGCACTTTGCACTCATCAATGACTGGACGGGATTCAGGAACAGAGAGGTTGAGTGACCTGTCCAAGGTCACACAGCCAGCAGGTAAACAGAGGAACAGCAAGGATGGGTGGCGGCGCTGGGCCCGTCTTCTGGCAGCACAGGGTAAACAGTCCCCACCTCCACTGAACACAGGCCAGCCGTGGGCCCTGGGCCGCCCCCGAAGGACTATGGCCTTGGTTTCCCCAGTGCTGGCCAAGCACTCCCCCACCCCGTCCCGCCAGCCTCTGAGCACAGAAGGGCGGTGGGCGCGGCGAGGGTGCCCCCCAGGCCCGGCAGGTCGCGGCGGGGACGCGGGCGCGCCGCAGAGGCGGGGCGCGGCGGGCCGGGCGCGGTCGGCGCGAGGCTCACCGGACTTGGGGTAGGTGACGATCCACACGTCGCTGGGCCGCACCGGGAAGTTGGCGATCTCCTCCATCTTCCCGCGGCAGAAGGGCGGCAGCCGCACGCCGTGGAACTCGAAGTACTTGCTCTCGAACTCCCCTGGGGTGCTGGGGGTCTCGGCCTCGCTCTCCGCCATGCCGCCGCCGCTGCCGCCTCCCGGCCAGCACTCGCACGCGCCCGCACCCCGCACGCGCCCGCCGCCCCACCAGCGCGCGGCGGCCGCTCCGCAGACGTGACGTCACGGCGCCGCCCGGCGCGGGGAGGCTCCCTCCGTGGGTATGACGTCATGTCGCTGCTCCGCGCGCAGCGGTCGCTCCGCAGTCGTGACGTCACGGCGCCGCCCAGGCGAACCCGCCGTGCACACCCCTCAGCCGCTGCTACCCACTCCCCCACCTCCCGGGACCCCGAATCCACAGTTCTGTGTCCGCGTCCCGGTCACTCCCGCCATTCATTCAACCCTCGGATTTGTCATCCGGCAAGAGGTCGGCACAGGCTCAAGAGATCCTCCAGCCAGAAGTGACCTTAAAGATTCATTGTGCGTTCAACCTGGTCTGCGCCAGGCACTGGCCAAGGTTCCTGAGACGCATCAAGGGAAAAGACAGCAAAAGCCCAAAAACCCTGTCCTCTTGGAACTGACACTGGTAAATAACCAAGATGATTTCAGGTGATGAATGTCAGGTGCTGTAAAAAAATATGCCTCACAATACCCTGGGAGCTGGAGGGGCGGGGTCTAGAGGAGTGTTGAATTGCAGACTCCAGGGCCCACACCAGACCTGAAGGGAAAGACTCTCCCGGGATAGAACCCAGAAATATGCATTTAATAAGACACTTCTTGTGCAAACTACCATCTGAGAACAGCTGAGTCTTAGAAAGATCTTAGTACAACTCCTTGAATTCAGAGGCTCAGCATCATCAGCTGTGAAAAGGGAAAAATAATTCCTTCCTCTAACTGCTATAGCCAGGAGAATGAGACAAGTCTACGCGAGCAGGAATCTGGAGCAGAGCTGATGCACAGGGCCCATTTCTGCTTGCTCCTTCTTGCTCTAGAGCAGTGGTCCTCATCCTTCCTAATGCCACGACCCTTTAATACAGTTCCTCATGTTGTGGTGACCCCCAACCATAAAATTATTTTCGTTGCTAGCAAATTTCTCCACTGAATGCAGCCAGCTGACAATGAAAATAATGTTATGGTTGGGGATCACCATAACATGAAGAACCATTTTAAAGGGTCATGGCATTAGGAAGGTTGAGAACCACTGCTCTAGAGCGGTACATTTGCAGCCTGACATGGGAGCCACACACATGAGCTGAGGGGCAGAGGCCATGTGTACATGGTGGACATAGAGAGGAAACCGAGCAATTAACCCTGACTCGAGAGGCTTCTGGATGTCTTTCCAAAAAACAAAGAGGGCATTCCAAGCACTCAAATATAGTCAAGAACAATTCAAGTGCAGGTTCTCGCTATGGGAGAAGGAAGATATAAGTGGGGGATGGAAGGAGGCAAAGAAGAACCCTATGAGACTGGAGTGGAATCAGAGGTATGGACATGCGTCTACAATTTTTATCTCATCTTTGCTGAAAGGTCTTTAGGCAATGATATCCCCATAATACTAGACATACCCACTGCCTAGGTCTTCATTTCTAAATACATCCCCCGGCAAAAGGAACTAGGGTTTCTTCGAGAAAAGGCCAATTGCAGGGCAAGGAAAGTACAAGATGAACTTAAAACATCTTGAGCCAAAAAATAAGAAAGTGTTCAAAAATGATGTGCATAGGTCAAAAGGCAACAGGACCCAATGTGAAAGGGTTCCCACAGGCCAAATCAGAAACAATTTGAGCATAATAGACAAAAGTTGAAACAACTAAAATACTCACCACCAATAAAATGGATAAATTGTGATATGTTCATGCAGGAGAAACCATACAGCAATAAAAAAGGACTTGCTGGTATATACAAGGTAGGGAAATCTCACAGTCAAAGCCGTGAACAGAACAAGCCAGACACTAAAGAGGATATGTTGTACAATTCCAATGCATACAGTTCAAGGACAACCAAAACTGATCTATCTCATAGCGGTCAGAATAGTCTTAATTTGGGGCATGGAGGGGGCTGACTGAGAATAGACAGGTACCTCCCCTCCAGAGTGTTGGAGGCATCAGATGTTGTTCTCACTGGTGGTTACGCGATGATATAGACACAAGTGCAGGCACTGACATAGACACTGATGCAGGCACTGCTTCATGGGTGTGCACCAGTGGAGTCACATGGGCTCTGGTGCTCAGAAGGGCCTCATGCTTGGGGTTTAATGCTCTATGGTTGCCACCTTGAAATTGTGACTTTAATCTTCATATTTTGTGAGATCAGATGGGACCACAGAGCAAGCATCTGGGACTTAGAGCTCTGGAGCCTACCCTCTCCTGCCACCTTCCAGAGACAACTCCTCGGCTGCCCACTCTGCCATCCTTTAGTATCTTAGCCCTGCCCCAATCTCTCCTTGCCCCTGCCTAGTGACCACAGAGATCTGGGCACAGCCACCAAGAAGGTCAGGTCAGACATGCCCCCAGCATCTCAGAGTGGGGCGTGATAGAGGCTGACTGCCAGCACTGCCGTGCATTTGGTAGCAGGTCAGAAAAGGCAGGTGTCCTCCTCACCACATCAGTACCTAGCCCCACAGGCCTCCCCGTGTTCAGGACAGTGACATTAAATAGCAAATAAAAAGCACCATGACAGGTGGCAGACTGTGGCTTTATATTTTGGTATCTTTAACAGCATTTTTAACCTGGCTTTTGAACAAGAGAGCCTACATATCGACCTTACTCTGAACACTGCAAATTGTGTACCTAGTCCTGTGTAGATGTATATGTTAAAAATTGTTGAAGTAGGGCTGGGTGCAATGGCTCATACCTATAATCTTAGCACTTTGGGAGGCCAAGAAAGAAGGATTGCTTAAGGTCAGGAGTTCAAGTCAACCTGGGCAATAGCAAGATCCCCATCTCTATTAAAAAGAAAATTAGCTGTGCTTGGCAGGATGTGCCTCTGGTCCCAGCTACTCGTCTGAGACAGGAGGGTGGCTTGAGCCCAGGAGTTTGAGGTTGTAGTGAGCTATGATGTTGCCACTGCACCCCAGCCTACATGACAGAGTAAGACCTTATCTCAAAAAAAAAAAAAGAGGTACATACTTGAGATCTGTGTATTAGTTATACCTAAATAACAATTTACTGTGTGTATGTGTGTGTATATGTATACATAGTATGATAAAATATTATGTATATTTTATATGTAAAATAAAAATATTTCATATGGTTATGTTTAAAAATGAATTAGGTCAAGGTACAGTGGATTGCTTGAGCTCAAGAGTTCCAGACCATCCTGAACAAGAGCAAGTCCCCATCTCTACTAAAAATAGAAAAAGTAGTTTTGTCTTGTGGGGCACCTGTAGTCCCAGCTACTTGGGAGGCTGAGGTAGGATGATCGCTTAAACCCAGGAGTTTGAGGTTTGTGACACCACAGCACTCTAGACTGGAGCCACAGAGTGAGATTCTACCGAAGAAGAAGAAGAAGAAGAAGAAGAAGAGGAGGAGGAAGAGGAGGAGGAAGAGGAGGAGGAAGAGGAAGAGGAAGAAGAAGAGGAAGAGAGGCTGTGCCTGGGGCTCAAAGGAGTAGGGTGCTGGCCCCATATACCGGAGGTGGCAGGTTCAGTCCCGGCCCTGGCCAAAAAAAAAAAAAAAAAAAGAAGAGAGAGCGAAGGAAATAAATGAATTAGGAAAGTTTCATCCTGAAACTAAAAAAGAAAAGGAATAAATGAGGAGAGACGAGAAAGCTCTTCTGTCCAGTAAAACAATAGCTAAAAATATGAGGGTGGTCCTGACTTCTGTGTTTGGACAAACCACATGTTGCTTACCATTACTTACCACTGTGTTCAATTTGGATGGAGACTTTACATTCAGACATGCTACAATTAGGTCTTACCTGTCAAAACGTGGAACAGGAAGGCCAGGCGTGGTGACTCACACCTGTAATCCTAGCACTGTGGGAGGCCAAGGCTGGTGGATTGCCTGAGTTCAGGAGTTCAAGACCAACCTGAGCAAGAGCCAGACCCTGTCTCTAAAAATAGCCAGATATTGTGGTGGGTTCCTGTATTCCCAGCTACTCGAAAGGCTGAGGCAGGAGGACCAAGAGTTTAAAGTTGCTGTGAGCTATGATGCCACAACACTCTACCCAGTGTTTTTTTCAAAAAAAAAAAATTTAAAAAGACATCACCAATAACCTGGCAAACTGACAGCCTATGCCTCCAGATGTGATGTGCAGAAAAGGATACAGACCACTTACTTGGAATTCCTACCAAACTTCACAGCCTATGTCTAATAAAGAGGGATGAAAGCAAAGCCCAAGTTACGGGATGTCTTATAAAACAACCAACCTGAACTCTTCAAAAACATCAATGTTATAAAAGACAAAAACAGCCAAGAGAACTGCTCTAGATAAAGGTGGCTGAGGAGATTTGACAACCGAATACAATGTGTGTGATTCTGGATTGGATACCGACTGGATCTTTTGGCAAAAAGCCATAGGGACTTCATAGGAACAATTCAAAGCATTCAAATATTGACTGTATATTAGATAATAATATTGTATTAATTTTAAATTTTCTAAATTTGACAACTGTACTGTGGTTATATAAAATAATGGTCATTTGAACTTTGCACAGTGGCAGTATCGAAGCCAATGACCTTTACCCAAGGCGTGATTATTGCTAAAAATGGTCATTTGCCTAGGAGGTACATATCTGGGGGGGGATGAAGAAGAATCATGTCTCCAACTGACTTTCGAATGGTTTTACCAAAAACCCCAAATTATAGCACTAAGACAACAAACGTGTGTGTGTGTATACATTGAGAGAGAGAGAAAAGGGGGCAAAGGCCGTGCAGGGTGGGGAACCTATGGCCTCAAGACCACATACAGCCCTCCAGGCCCCCAGGTACAGCCCCTTGAACAAGTCTAAACTTCACAGATCAAATCCCTTTATTAAAAGAATTTCCTCTGTAGAATTTGGATTCAGCCAAAAGGCCGTACTCAAGGATCCAGAAGGCCACATGTGGCCCCATTGCCACAGGTGTGGTAAAAATATTACCACAAACTCAGTTCTGCAGGTCTGAACACAAATGCAGGTGACACTAGACTGAAATGAAGGGATCAGCAGGGTTAAACTTTCCGGAGGCTC